CAGAGACTCATCAGTGATGATAATGGACTGAAAGTGGAAGTGTGCTGGACGTTCCAAATTTTTGGGTCCTGCTTTCCAATTTGCTATGTTTACCAGTTAATATATTACCCCTCTGTATTTCCACACTGCAGTGAAGGCCATAGGGTAAACGCGGTATATTCCGACACATTAAGGACGCATTGAGAAATGAAAAACTATAAAAAAATAACCGTATGCATTACTCGAGTTCTGTTTGCTTTATGTGACTTGCAAAACACCGTACTACGCGCCAGCAACGATGAAACGTCACAAAATGTTGCCATATTTATATAAAAGCCTTTAGAATGCAAACCTACCAAACCCCTATATTCCGACACTGTGTGTGGCAATATTAGGCATGCGGTGAGGCGGATTCCGTCCGCGCTTCAAATTTTACTGATACGTAATGCCGTCATCCACGTGTTCGAATTCCGTTCGCTGTGTGAGCTGTATTGGAATACAACACGGCTTTGAATTAGAACACTAATGAATATTGAACACTACTTAATTACGCTTTTAATTAACAACTATTAAGCTTTTAATTAAGCAAATTTTAATTTTTGTACATAGCTTGGAACGATCTGTGTGTGTCCAATTCAAGTTGTGACGGAATTAGTTTTCATGTGTCTAAATCCATTTCTCAATTTAATCATCTATTAATTTATTTACCACTTGAAATCAGCAAATACAAAATTCACTATTTGGTAGAGCAAGGTCAACTGTCAAATTTGACACATTTTTCAATGATCTCACTGGGTAGCGTGCATTGTCTCTCTTTGGATCTCAATATTTTCCCGCTAGATGGCCAAGACCTAGTGTTTTGGCAGTAGTTCAACGCGCAAATGTATGACGTCACCATTTCAACCATCAACGAACGCATGGAACTAAAACAAAGCTTAATATAAAGGAAAAACTAGAGAGGTGACGGAATTACCCATGATGTTGGAATATACTGCGTTTACCCTACCTGATACTGATAGGGCTCTTGTCCAATAGCTTTTGGACTACAGCCTTGAACCTGCATGAAGTCCAATGCTTGTGTCTTGAAAGTGAGAACTTGCAGTGCACTTGCTTTCTTGTCTGCAAGCTTTTTTTTATCATGGTCCTGACTCCTGGCCAATGACCATGTAACCAACATCAACCTTATTGCTCAATGGAAATCAAAATGCCTTTTTGTTCCATGATTTTCCATGGCAGTAGGTATATGACCTGAAATTAAATCTAATGAATTTTCAGGCTTGGAAAATAAAAAATCAAATTCCATGAGGTGATGAGGATCATGACTTTCCAGGTTTTCCATCATCCAGACTCACTGACTCTCAGTCTCTCAGCTTAGGCATACATCAAAAATTGGTGCACTGTGCACAAGTAGGACTGAATATAAGCATACAATTAATGACCAGAGAGGAAATTATACGCATAGCTACCTAGGTATAATCAATAAATTTCTGCCATCTTATAATAAGTACCTACCTAAATATAAGGGAAGGCATTTTATATATGGAAATACCAGAGTCCAGACTTTAGAGATATATGATATAGATATTCATTACAAAATTAATGATGCATATTGCGCAGATTTAGAAAATCCATAGCCTATTCTCTGAAATATTGCAGTTCTAAATTTCCAATAGCCTATAACATTAGGCTATCACATCAATGTGACATCAGTCATCAATCATACCAGGTCTCATAGTGTGGCACAAGAGTCGTTGTAAAATTTATCTCAAGGTCATCTGGTCGTTGAACAACCGCATGCCAGTCGATAGGATTTATGCAGTCGATAGTCGATAGGTTTCTTTAGTAGTTCGATAACTTAACAATGAAAACACTAGTGACTAGTCGTTAATAATGAGATAACCTTAAGTCTGTGTACATTATATTCTTTATATCCAACAAAAACCTAACAGATAATGCATTAATGCTTAATTTTTCAAACCAGCAGTGCCTTCTTAGGTTTCTTTACTAACGAATTCACCGCTTCACCTCACCGTAAATATTGTGCGTAAACAAATGCAAGCTTTCCCTATAATACGGAGGTCACACCTTACTCTTATCCAGAACTGCTTACTCAGTTTTAAATACTCAATCACCAGAATTATCAAACCTCAACTCTATTTAATATATGGCTACTTGCATTTGTTCGACAAATGCGAGCCACTCACAAATGGGATTCGCGAATTTCATATTCTCTCAGGCATATCCAAGAATACCAGTTAGTTACAATGGGAAGAAATTAAAACTACGGATGTGCACCTCTGTTGTTCACGTGCGTACTGCAAATTTAAGCATAACACATTCCC